TTACACGATTTCTAAAAAGGGTCTGTAAATGCTAAAATATGTGTTTTAAAAATGGTGTGAGTATACGTGATGGTTCCCAACTCTTTACAGAGGTCCACATAAAAATATTTGAGTAAAATATTTTGCATGCTCTGAGGCGCCAAATCCGTGGAATAATATACAAAAAAAATTGAGGAATTTGCTTGATTCCCAAAAAAGGGCTTGTAAATGCGGAAATAGCATTACAAAATTGTGTGATTATACATGATTGTTCCCAACTCATTATGGAGGTCCTCATAAAGTTTTATAGGGAAAAAAATTGGGTGCTTCAGGGTGCCAGATCAATAGGCTAATACACACGAAAAATTAAGAAATTTGCGCGATTCTAAAAAAAAGGGTTGTAAATGCGGAAATGGAAATTTAAAAATTAGTGAGTATGCATGATGATTCCCCAACTCATTACGGAGGTCCTTATAAAGTTTTTTGAGAAAAAAAATTGTGGTTGCTCTGGAGCGCCAGATCAGCAGGCTAATAATATACACACAAAATATTGAGGAATTTACGTTATTCCTAAAAAGGGCTTTTAAATGCGGAAATGGGTGTTTAACAATGGTGTGAGTATACGTGATGGTTCCCCAACTAATTACGCAGGTCCTCATAAAGTTTATTTTAGACAAAAATTTAGGTGCTCCGGAGCACCAGAACCATGGGCTAATACATACGAAAAATTGAGGAATATGCGTGATTCCTAAAAAAGGCATGTAATGCATAAATGGGCGTTAAGTAAATGGTGTGAGTATACCTGATGGTTCCCCGACTTATTACGGATGTTCTCATAAATTTTTTTGAGAAAAACATTTCGGGTGCTCCGAGCTTGCCAGATCCTTGGGCTAATACATATGAAAAATTGAGGAATTTTCGTGATTCCTAAAAAAAGGGCCTGTAAATGCGAAAATGAATGTGAAAAAATAATGTGAGTATACATGATGATTCCCAACTCATTACGGAGGTCCTCACAAAATTTTATAAGATAAAAATGTTGGGTTCTTCGGGGCACCAAATTCATGGGCTATAATAAACACAAAAAATTGAGGAATTTGCGCAATTCTTGAAAAAGAGTCAATAAATGCGGAAATGGGCATTTAAAAAATGGTGTGAGTATACATGATGGTTGCCCAACTCATTACAGTGGTCCTCATAAATTTTTTAGGAATTTTTTTTTGGGTGCTACATGGCGCCAGATCCATGGGCAACACACGAAAGATTAAGGAATTTGTGTCCTAAAAAAGGGCATGTAAATGCGAAAATGGGAATTTAAAAAAATGGTGTGAGTATACGTGATGGTTCCCCAACTCATTACAGAGGTCCTCATGAAATATTTTGAGAAAAATAATTGGGTGCTCCGGGGAGCTAGACGCATGGGCTAATAATACACACGAAAAATTGAGAAATTTATGTGATTCCTAAAAAAGGCATGTAAATGCGGAAATGGGCATTTAAAAAATAGTGTAAGTATACGTGATGGTTCCCCAACTCATTAGGGAGGTCCTTATAAATTTTTTTGAGAAAAAACTTTTAGGTGCTCCGGGGGCCAGATCCATGAGCTATTAAACACGAAAAATTGAAGAATTTGTGCGATTCATAAAAAAAGGGTTGTAAATGCGAAAATGAGTGTTAAAAAATGGTGTGAGTATACATAATGGTTCCCCAACTGAATATGGAGGTCCTCATTTTGTTTTTTGAGAAAAAAAATTGGGTGCTCTGGGGCACCTGATACATGGGCTAATACACATGAAAAATTGAGGAATTTGCGCGATTCTTGTAAAAGGGTCTGTAAAAGTGGAAATAGGTGTTAAAAAATGGTGTTAGTATATGTGATGGTTCCCCAATTCATTACGGAGGTTCTTATAAAGTTTTTTGAAAATAAATTGTTGGGTACTCCGGAGCGCCAGATCTAAGGGCTAATACACACGAAAAACTGAGGATTTTGCGCGATTTGTAAAAAATGGGTTGTAAATGCGAAATTGTGCGTTAAAAAAATGGTGTGAGTATACATGATAGTTCCCCAACTCATTACAGAGTTCTTCATAAAGTTTTTTGAAAAGAAAAATTTTGATGCTCCAGGGTTCCAGATCCGTGAGCTACTACACACGAAAATTGAGAAATTTATGTAATTCCTAAAAAAGGGTCTGTAAATGCATTTAAAAAATTGTGTGAATATTAATGATGGTTCCCCAACTCATTACATAAAGTTTTTTTAGAGAAAAAATTTAGGTGCTCCGGGGTGCCAGATTCATGGGTTAATACACACGAAAAATTGAGAAATTTGCGTGATTCCTAAAAATGTGCTTGTAAATGCGGAAATGGGCATTTAAAAAATGGTGTGAGTATACGTGATGGTTTCCCAACTCATTACGAAAGTCCTCATAAAGTTTTTAGAGAAAAAAATTTTGGTGTTCCGGGGGGCCAGATCAATGAGATAATACACATGAAAAATTAAGGAATTTGCGCGATTCCTAAAAAGGGTCTTCAAATGTGGAAATAGGCGTTTACAAAATAGTGTGAGTATATGTGATGGTTCCCCAACTCACAACGGGGGTCCTCATAATGGATTTTGAGAAGAAAAAATTGGGTGCTCCGGGGCGCTAGACCCCTGGGATAATACACACAAAAGATTGAGGAATTTGCGCGGATCCAAAAAAAATGGCTTGTAAATGCGAAAATGGGCGTTTAAAAAATGGTGTGAGTATCAGTGATGGTTCCCCAACTCATTATAGAGGACCTCAAAAAGATTTTTGAGAAAAAAATTTGGGTGCTTCGGGGCGCCATATAAGTGGGCTAATACATACGAAAAATTGAGAAATTTGCGTGATTCCTAATAAAGGGCCTGTAAATGGGGAAATGAGCGTTTAAAAAATGGTGTGAGTATACGTGATGGTTCCCCCTTCTTTAAGGAGGTCCTCATAAAGTTTATTGAGAAAAATATTTTAGATGCTCCGGAGCCCCAGATCTATGGGCTATTACACACGAAAAATTGAGAAATTTGCGCGATTCCTAAAAAAGGGGATGTAAATGCGAAAATGGGCATTAAAAAAATGGTGTGAGTATACATGATGGTTTTCCAACTCATTACGGAGGTCATCATAAAGTTTTATAGAATTTTTTTTTGTGTGCTTTGGGGCGCCAGATCCATGGGATAATATTAACACATGAAAAATTGAGGAATTTGCCCGATTTCTAAAAAAAAGGGTTGTAAATGCGGAAATGAGCGTTTAAAAAATGGTAAGTATACGTGATGGTTCCCCAACTCATTACAGAGGTCCTCGTAAAAATTTCTCAAAATTTTTTTTGGTGCTCCGGAGCGCTAGATACATATGGTAATACACACGAAAAAATTAGGAATTTGTGTTATTCCTAAAAAGGGTTTGTAAATGCAAAAATGGGCATTTAAGAATTGTGTAGTATACATGATGGTTCCCAACTCATTACGGAGATTCTCATAAAGTGTTTTGAGAAAAATAATTTGGGTGCTTCGGTGCGCCAGACCCATGTGCTAATACACACGAATACTAAGGAATTTGCGCTATTCTTAAAAAAGGGCTTGTAAATAAGGAAATGAACGTTAAAAAATAGTGTGAGTATGCATGATGGTTCCCCACCTCATTACAGAGGTCCTCATAAAGTTTTTTAAGAATAAAATTTTCGGTGCTCCGGGGCGTCATATTCATGGGTTAATATACAGTTCGCCTCTCTCCACTCGTTGCCCTCTCTCGCTCGTCTCTCTCCTCCCTTTCCCAATCTCGCTCGCCAGATATACAAATACATATTGTATACCAGTTACATATATATAACTATTTGACATATATACATATACAATTCGACAAATATACATATACAATTCGCCTCTCTGCACTCTCTGCCCTCTCTCACTCCTCTATCCTCCCTCTCTCAATCTCGCTCGCCTCTCTCCTCCCTCTAACATGTAGCTACGAATCGTAATTAGCAAACTATAGCTATGCAGCATAATTAAGTTATTTTTGAGTGGCAATATGCGAAAATTCCCCTATAATAAATATATAAAGTATCACAAATCATATAACATAAGTGATTAAATAGTTTAACAGTTGTAAGTTCGTTAAATTTGCGAGATTCACAAGCAAAAGGATCAAAAGTATATAAGAGCAAACATTTTGATTGATCGAAGGTTAAATGTGCTTAAGCAGATAAGGAACTTGTTGATATTTCAGGGATGAAAAGTGCAAATTTCCCACAAAAATTATGAAAAACTGATACAGCCAAATAAAAGAGAACCAAGGTATCAAAGAATTTGTTTCAGCAAGAGCTCGGAGAGTTGTCTAACAACCTTCCCAGTTCCCACTTCGGTTCAAAGAGAAAGGAAGGGGCTGATCCGATAGTGCGTGCTGGCCAGTTGCCACTCTTGACCAAGAATTATTTGTGTCCATGTTTTCACTGCAGGTACATGGTAATCCAGTAGCATCTCCAAGAAACTAACACAAGCTCATTGCCTTAATTTATTTAATTATCAGTAGAAGAACTCCAGTTCACTTATTTTCTACACTTTTAGGTAGATATTGAGTTGTGATCAATGCCGATCATAGCTGCACAGCCTAGTTTACATATTAAAAAGTTTGTTGATAAAATGATAAGCAATGAGAAGAGAGTTCAACGATCATTTCAAGCGAAAAAAATGAGAGGATTAAAATGTTGTTCATTAAGATTGAATACCATTGTGCCAAAATCACTGTTTTCTTTCCCAAAATTGAGGCAATTATGAAAAATTAGTGATTCAATACCAAAATTGATACGATTATGATAAACTATTGCTTCATATACACCATCGTTGAATAAAAGAATATGAGTAGGTGATGCAAACCCAAATGCAGGTCTGCCTCATTAGTCATTGTTGCCTCACTTGTCATTGCTGAATCCCCCATTCACTGTTGTTGTGTATGTACATATCATTCCAAGACATGCAACACTTAATCTTCTTGTACACCATCGTTGAATAAAAGAATATGAGTAGGTGATGCAAACCCAAATGCAGGTCTGCCTCATTAGTCATTGTTGCCTCACTTGTCATTGCTGAATCCCCCATTCACTGTTGTTGTGTATGTACATATCATTCCAAGACATGCAGCACTTAATCTTCTTATGTTGAGGTATATGGAACTTAGGCTCTCTTGGAACGGTAGGATCTTTTGTTGACCTAATGCAGACCACCAAACTATTTAGAAGTAATTCTTGATTAAAGCTAGTATATTCCTATTAGGAGAAGCAAAAATTTGCAAGGAACATAAAGTAAAGTTGGAACCTTGTTACTACCTTCTAGGAACGAAAGGCCTGTCAAAGTAGGGCATCGGTTGAGCTTTTGGAACAAGTTCCTTTCTCAGCCTCCTAATTTCTTCTTCCTCAGCCATCTAGAGAAAGTAACAGTACAGTTTTAAAAAAAAGATAACACGAATGAAGGAGAAAAACCCCATATACGTGCTTCAATCGCAGAACATATGCTTGGATTACCTTCTGCATTCTCTCTCTTTCAATCTTGTATTGTTCAATAAGGCTCATTTTTTCTGCCACCTGATGCAATCATGGAGAAACCAGGAACATAAGTTATTGTGCCTCCACAAATGACAAGCCATTTACAGGTCCTGTCCTCTTATCCATGCAACACTCTCTTTGGTTATTTCCTTACATATTGCAAGTATTTCTCATATATTTTGCTTTCCCCTAATGAAATATAGCATTGAACAAGAATCTAAAACTAGCTCTTTTTCACTCTAACAACTTTGCTTGGGACTTCTCTTATTGGTGCACTTTCTTTGAGAAAAAATACTGAGATTAGCAACATTTTGCACAAGATTAAACCAACTCGTTCACTAAAAGAATTACTTTAGGTTGATGAATGACCAAATATATATCAAAATCTACCTGATGATCAAACTCAGCACGTTCAGCTGCCCTAATGTCACTGTGCAGCACCAGATCAACTGGCCTTGTGCTCTCTTTTATCAGAGGCTTTGGCAAACACTAAATAATTGAAAACAGAATAATTCAGGTTTGTTTTCATAACAGGCTGAAGTATAACCCAAGTGCAAAAGATTTGTGCATAGTGATCAGAGAGGTAACAACATGAACTTCCTACACAATTTCATCCTAATTTCTCTTTGATTTTGGTTTAAAAGAGTCCAATCTAAAAAATACGAGATCAACAAGATGCATCAATACACATAGAAAGTCTTTAATGGTTGGAAATGACTGGTGAAAAGCTTAGGCTACCTTTGGCTCATCTGTTGTCCATGGAAGGCCTTGTGCAATTGGTATCCGCTGTTTCTCCTCTTCCTCCATCATTTGTTGCACTTTCTTTAAAAACTCTTCCTCTTTACATTTTCCCCTTTCCTGCAACAATAGCCAATCTAATCAGCTCCTCAAGGAAATGGATAAATTATTAATTGGATTCAACATGACATCCTAATATATGCAGTTCAACAATGATAGGAGACAATTAACTGTTGAATCAAAGAAGAGGTAACTACATAAATAAAGACCACCCTGCTAGTGGTCAAGGAACAATGAACAATGAACATTATAAATGTCAACAAAGGGAATTGAAAGACCAATATTCTGAGTTTCTTGTAGCCATCATATTCCGTCCATCTTTCAGTGTCCACTCTGCACAACTCACTATTTTGGCGGCAGCTAGCACATGTCAACCAGATATATGCAGCTGCATATTTGATCATATTTGCACAAGAAGCAACCAATTAGCCAAAGGTTAGAGAAACCAACACGCAATTCACAAACCTCAGTTCTAAGTTTGAAGGGCTTTTGGGAGGTCGCTTTGAGCTGCTTTCTCTTCCAGTTTCTTTTAGCAAATGTGCCTGATGATTCCATACTCTGCAGCATTAAGAATGAAATCAAGAGCTTAAAGATTAACAGAATTCAACCCCATCATACTGTGATGGATAATAATAAGAAAATTCTTACATTGCGTCTGCTCCTTCGACCACCACCTGAAGTCCTGCTTGAAATACTAAAGCTTGCAAAAGAAAAACGAACAGTATATTTTCAGCACTCCAAAGCAAAATTACACATCAATCCTAAATTAATCGGAGGATTGCATTAGATTGACTACCAATAGTCAATTTGTAATGAATCCTTATGATTTAAAAAATGAAAACAGAAAAACTAATAGAATAAATGAAGTTTCAATTACTAACCATCCATGGTTGCTATCCAACGAGGAGGCATGACGCGAATCCAAGCCTAAGCTCTCAGAGTTGAGGAAGAAATCCGATGGGCAAAACGAAGAAGAAGATACATGTGTCTCAGGAATCTTGGGAGGCTGCAAGCCAGGCAATGCCCATTTTTGTTCTTTACTAGAATCCTCTGCTTCATTTTCATCATTTTCCCCTTTCTCCTTGCACTCTTTTGTTTTTGGTATTGAGAGAAGCTTCTCAAAAGCCTTAACTAAATGCTTCACTCTTCCAGAACCAGTTTCAGGTACACTTTGTCTTGCTTCTTCCAACAACCTCTCCCTCCTCCTCTTTATAGTCCCACCACTCATTTCATGCCGACCCACATCCTCGTTGCCCCTTTCCGCCAATTCATCTGCCACAGAACTATCGCGCAAGTCAACTAATTCACTCTCGGAAATTGAAACAGGAATCGTTAGCTCCTGATCGACTGTAGTCAGACTCAACATGTGCCTGACTGGCGAATCAACGTAACACCCCGTAATTCGCTCTTCATCGCCACTTTCAGCTCCATTTACTTCATCTAACTTCTCAATGTCATACTCTTCCTGTTCATTTCCACAACGATTCTTAAAAAACTCTTCTTGAGAAGCCCTGAGACTCTCATAAGCAACACAAAGACACTTTTTTATCTCAGCACCATCCTTATTACACTTACAAATCATTTTAGATTTCAGATTATCCTTATTACATTTCTTCTTCTTCGCGATTACAAACTTCCTCTGACTAATCTTATTTTTGGGCGAAGAAGAAGCCAATTGATTAGTATTATGGTTTCTGGAAATTGATTTCTGACTTTTCGTGGCTGATTTAGAAGATTTTGATAAAGCTGGACTGAACTCCACATTTGGGTTCGAATTCTCAGAAATTTTGGAGCATTTTTTAGGCGTAAGCCTAGTGGATTTGCCGTTAGAATCCATAAAAATCACCGGAAAAAGCAATGTCATTGTCGCCGAAGAGTTGATCAGAGTTAGGGTTTAGTTGTATTACTGATTGGCTAGGGTTTTCTGGTTTTCTCTCTCTCTGATTCATTGATCGACGAGGGAAAAGAAGAAGAAGTTGAGCTTTTCACGCTTCTGGAGTTTGTAACGGCTAGTTTTTTTTTGGTAGGCTTGATTTTGGAGCGTTGGATTTGTTTTTCTAAATTATTTTGCAAAACTGGACCGTTAATTAGAGAGTGATTTGAGGTTGTTGTTATGGCTAATTTTAATATTTATATAATAAAGGCTTAAGTCATGTACGGCCCCTTAAAGTTGTCCGCATAATTCACTTAAACACCTCAACTAAGGCTAGTACCTATTAGACACTCTAATATTAACGAATTTGTACCTATTGAACACAAAATGATAATAAAGTTTTAAAATGTTGTGTGTGTAATTCACGCGCACTATCTTAAAAAATATAACAAATAAAAATGCAGCACGTGGCACATGGGCCAATCTAATGAATTTTCATTTTTTAAAAATAAAATAAGAATTCCAACCTTTAAATATTCCAAAAAATTAATTAACAAAAAAGAAGAAAAAAGAAAACCCCCACCCCCACACAAACCCACCCACCTTTCTTCTTCTTCCCTGTTACCGGCCATCCTAATTCCTAATTCCTCCGACAACAAATCTCGATTTCTCCGGCGACAGCAAAACGAAGAAACAAGAAAATCTCCCCCACCCCGCTGTCCCAAATCCACCCACCTAATCATCTGTCTTATCTTCTTCTTCTTCTCCGTCATGTGTTACCCGTCATTTTCTATTCCTCTAAAAAAAAAAAATCTTTTTATAATGAACTATGGGCTATTGAAATCAAGTATGATGCAAATAGTGAAATAAATTATGAAGCATGATAGATTAATGAAATGATTGTTGAGATTTTTTGTGAAAAATAAATCGATGTTGATAAATTATTTCGAAATCAACAACAAAGAAAAATCAAGAGGATTCAATGAATTTTATCAAATTTCCTGATATCATTTTAAATATATGGTTGGTGATGTTTGTTGATCAAAGTGACCGGAAAAAAGATGGACAGAGGTTGCTTTTATAATTCCGATATCCCATTTTTTTTTCTTGTTGCAAATTCTTGCAAATTTTATTAACATTCAATTTTTATTGTGTAAAGAGTGCAAATTAAAAATCGAAGAACAAAAATAAACAGATTATAAAAAGCTTGAAATGAGGCGAAGAAGACGACCTTGGTATAGCCTACAGGGGTGAGGATGATGTTGTTTTCTTTTTAGATATAAAACATTATCTTAAATAAAAAATTTAAATTATTTTAATTAATAGGCATACATGCCAAGTGTCTGGGGAGAAAAAACAATTCACGCGCTCGATTTGCGTGAATCACAAACAATTTGCCATGTAGGCAAAAAATGCTTAGACGGTTCAAATCTGGGGTGGTAGAGGTGTTCAATAGGTATTAAGTGTAGTTGAGGTGTCTAAATGAATAATGAGGACAACTTTGAGGGGCCGCACATGACTTTGGCCTATAATAAAATGTATTTTTCAAAGTGCATTGGCCAAACTTCAAAAATATACATTAGCATATTTTTTTGAGAAAATTTCTAGCATAACATAATAGTCCATAGACATAATAAGACTTTATAGTTATAGTTTCAATAATTACGCTTCATAGTTATAGTTTCGTTTGTTATGGAGGCCACGATTTGTATATTTCGCTTGCGAATATATAAATAGGGTAAATATATACAAATTCTATATTTATATATTTCACTTGCAAATATATAAATAGGATAAGTATATACAAATTATGTATTTATACATGAATTTTTCAATACTCCGTCTGTATATTTCACTTTCCAATATACAAACAGGATGATTTATTATGATTTTTCATAAATCGTATACAAATAGTTATGGTAAGCATATACAAAGTTTTGGATTTATACAATCGAGAACCAAATTATACAAATTCTGGATTTATTCAAATCAGGCTAGTAGCAAGAATTGGGGAAACTGTAGCCGCAAAGTATAATTTTTTTAAATTGAACCTATTGTAAACTTTGAAATTTTGTGAGACTCTACAAGATGTGTTCAATTCGAGTTGAGATTTTACAAGGTGTGTTCAATTCTAATTAGGATTCTTTGGAGGCTAGTCAATCATAAACTCTAGTTCATGCCTATATAAAAGATATTATATTCTTTGGCTTCTCAAATATTCCGCAAATTCTGGAATATTCATAAAGAGATGAAATCAAAATCAGTTCGAGAAATACGCCACTAACGGCCCTCGAATCGAATCATCAGGGGAGGAACATATTTATACCCGCAATGTTTATAATAAAACTATATTTCTTTATATTTTATTTGTGATTGCAATTTTTTGATCACTTTAAAATTTGTTGCAAACAGCTATGATACCTAATATAGGCTAAATATTTATAATTTTCCCTAAAAATAATTCTATTTCTGTCTTTCTGAGAAAAAAAAACAATTCATTTTTTTTTTTTAAAAAAATAGAATGAAGGATTATGGAATATTGCTACATCAAAACAATATATCAAAAGATTTGAAAAATGGACTGAATGAATTTTTTTCACTCTCATAAATGAGTAGCTTCTCCGCGAAGGTATGTAGCAATGTTGTTTTAACATTGTCTTTTTCCACAATTTATTTATTATACTTTATCCTAATTTATGTGATACTTTTTTTTACTTATTAAGAGTCAAATTAACTAATTTTTAAAGTTAAATTGAATTAAATCAACTCATCTAATTTGAATTTCGATAAGCAAAAAATCACATAAATTAAAACAAGTGGAGTATTAATTTTCATTTACAATTAGCCTTATAACTTTATAATGAACCTTTATTTCTCTTTACCATTTTTGTCAAGTATTGATTTAAAACAAATTGGACTGAAGAAATTTCTATCCATGTGACGGTACAATAAATTGTTCTTTCCAGCCGAATGACTTTGCAAAAGGTCACAACTTACACTTTTAAGTATTGATATTGAGATATATATATACAGTAAAGGACTTTTATGGCATATATAGTATCGCCTAAAACGTCCGAAATTTTATTTAAGTAGAGAAGAGCAAAGTACCTATTGATACAAATAACTACCGGCATTTCCTTCTCTGTACAAACATAACTCGACAAACACATACAAAGGTTCATTTACTAATAATAATAATAATAATAATAATAACTAGTAATATGTCATGAATTTGGAGCGGATGACAAAAGCATCTCTGCTCAATCATCAGTGTTTTTGCAATGTAACAATAAAACACTGTGAAGACATGCCAACTTTATTTTATTTACTACTAATAACTTCTAATAACACATGAATCGATCACATTTGACAAAATCACTCTGCTCAATCATCGTCGGTGTGCTTTTTGCGACGATTTTTCTTCCTCTCCTTGTCAGAGCCAGAGTCAGAGTCAGAATCACCCTGCCAATTTATCAAGATTAAATCAATAAAATAACAACATATCTTAATTATGCAATTCAAAAATAAAAATACTTACGTATTTCTTGCGACCATAGCTTTCATCATCGTCTTCCCCCTTCCCATAGCTAGGCTTCTTGTAGTCATCTTCCTCGGACCTACCATAACTAGGTCTCTCAATCGTTGAACTCCCGTACCCTTCGCTCTTTTTCCCATACCCACTAGATCCATACTCATCAGAATCGGTCTTTCGCCCATAACTTGACCCGTATGCTGATTTTTTCCCTTCATCATCATCATCACCATCACCACTCTTTCTTATGTTCCCTGATCCATACCCGGTGGATGTGGTTTTACTCCCATATCCACCCGATTCATCTCCAAACCCGGTGGATGTGGTTTTACTCCCATACCCACCCGATTCATCTCCAAACCCGGTGGATGTGGTTTTACTCCCATACCCACCCGATTCATCTCCAAACCCGGTGGATGTGGTTTTACTCCCATACCCACCCGATTCATCTCCAAACCCGGTGGATGTGGTTTTACTCCCATACCCACCCGATTCATCTCCAAACCCGGTGGATGTGGTTTTACTCCCATACCCACCCGATTCATCTCCAAACCCGGTGGATGTGGTTTTACTCCCATACCCACCCGATTCATCTCCAAACCCGGTGGATGTGGTTTTACTCCCATACCCACCCGATTCATCTCCAAACCCGGTGGATGTGGTTTTACTCCCATACCCACCCGATTCATCTCCAAACCCGGTGGATGTGGTTTTACTCCCATACCCACCCGATTCATCTCCAAACCCGGTGGATGTGGTTTTACTCCCATACCCACCCGATTCATCTCCAAACCCGGTGGATGTGGTTTTACTCCCATACCCACCCGATTCATCTCCAAACCCGGTGGATGTGGTTTTACTCCCATACCCACCCGATTCATTTCCATACCCAGTGGATGTGGTTTTACTCCCATACCCACCCGATTCATCTCCAAACCCGGTGGATGTGGTTTTACTCCCATATCCACCCGATTCATTTCCATATTCCGAACTCTTATCCTCGTATTCACTTTTCTTTCCATACCCACCGGATCCGGTTTTGCTCCCATATCCACCTGACCCGTACTGATCATCGGAGTCATTAGTAGTATTTTTTGACCCGTAACCCGATCCATATTCAGATTTGGGCTCATCATCGTCGTTCCGTCCATATCCAGATCCATGTGTCTTTTTGGGTTTTCCGTATTCGGATCGATTTCCATACCCGGTTTCATCAGATTCAATTCCACTTCCACCATACTCACTTTCACCGTAAGACATGATTGTGTTAATTTCAAAATTATTTTCTTCTTGATTGATAAAATTGAATAATGTGATCACAAGAAAATGAATTTTTGTGAGTTGAATTGAAATATAAAGGAGGGAAAAACAGTTACAAGTTGTTGGAACCGGAAACGCGGTTGTTACTCCTATTTAGTGATAGTAGATGGTTTCATAATCAAGGGCCACCATTACTTGATTTGTTATAAATTCAAAGGCGGAGCCATGAATTTAAAATTTATGATTCTAAATTTGCATCGAGTTAATAGTTCGTTTAAATATTTGGACTTATCGTTAAATACTTATACATATATAATGAATTTTCTAATATAAATACAGAATTTAATCAAAATATATTTGTATGGTATAAATTAGAGTTTGAGAGAAGGTTACGAATGGAAGCTCTTTGACAAACAACTCTCTACCATTTTGAACAGGTGCTTAGGGTTCACGTACATTTAAACTAGGTCTTAATTCGCAAGTAGTAATTATTTTAATTTTAAATATGCATGGCTAGATGTTTTAACTCATCTTCATTATGCCAGTTGAGCACTCCAACTTATAAAATGATTATCTATCCATTTCCAAAATTTATGTATCACACTAGCTAGGTATCTACGAGATATAGTTAGTTGAAGTGTTGAGTTGTAAGTTGAGATGTGTACTCTCAAAGTTGGAGTATTCAGTTATCAATTGATGCTAAATTTGAGTGTTTGTTCATGTATATGCTTAAACTATATGGTAGCTTGCTTTCAGACTACGTTGAATTTAAGAGGAAAATACATAATTCATTTTTAGGTAACTTATTTTTCTAAAGAAAATGTATTTTTAAAATTTGGACCAACTGAATATGAAATAAACAAAAAATAAAATTCTGAATTTTTTTCCTCCGTACCAAAGACGCCCTTAGTTTGAAGAGTTTAATTGGATGGAAATCTTTCAAATTGAAACACTAGTATTCTTCTTGGCATCGAAGAATGAAGAAACCTTGTTACTTTTATTCATGGGAATTGCAAAAAGATACAAGACGAGTATTCCCATCATTTTAAACTTTAATTTCATTACAATGGACTCTATTTGTCTCAATTAATGTGGTACACTTCGAATTAAGCGTCAAATAATTTAATTTTGACTATTAACGGGACATTGTTTGAGATACTTCTATAGATGAACCGAAAACAGAAAAACAAATCAAAATTAACAAATGGAGATGCGGGGGATCGAACCCCGTGCCTCTCGCATGCAAAGCGAGCGCTCTACCATTTGAGCTACATCCCCTTTTATTATATATAATCATAGATATTAACCTTTTCTCTACTTTACAGATATGACAGTTCAAGTAGAATTTAAGTTTAGATTTCCTTTTGTTATTTACTTATTTTTAGTATTTTTCTTTTATTTTTTATCTGGTACTCAAGCCCCACAAGCTAATGGGCTTAATTGAATCGAACTAAAAATTTTAGTTTTGAATGAACTTCCAATGGACCTAGTCGATATTAACGACTCTAAGCAAAAGTCAAGCTAGCTAGGGGGAAAGAAGAAGAGGAAAGATTAAAATCAAAACCTTCAATTGGATTCCAAGATAACATCCTATTTTTTAATTTTCTTTGGAAATAATTTTGAAGAATAAAAACAAATGACAGTAAAATTAATTAAAATAACAAACGATTGACATCTCACGCTTGCATTCGCCAAGTGATACATCACTTCTTTTTTTTAAAAAAAATTGTTTTATATTTACATTTATTTTCTATATTTTCTTACTCAAGACCCAAGGGTGATTGATTATCTTTTCTTATAAATTCTTTGTATCATTTCTTTTTAATGTATGATGACAAGAATTCTAAAGATTTGGTTGAATGATAAAAAAAAATTCTCAAAATAAGCAGTCTACTACTTAAGTATGCACCAATTGGCAAGCAGTACATTTATGCACAAACGGCTCAAATATTTCCAGACAGAGAAATTAGTGCATTTAAAGATGGAAAAAATGTATATAATAGCAAACTATTAATTCAAATTAAATGCTATAAATATAGTTTGATTTAATTGCACCTCTTAGCAAACTGTTGCTATTTCACCTCTCTCCTGGTGAATCTTGCTCGCCACTCTCGTTCTCTCCCTCGCCTCTCTCGTTTTTTATACAAACGCAAGTGTATAAAGTGCGTTTGTGTTTGTATAAAGCGAGAGAAAATTGTATATATACATATATTTTCATTCCCCTCTCTCCTCTCTCCCAGATCTCGCTCTTTGATTTAATTGTACCTCATAGCAAACTGTTGCTATTTCACCTCTCTCCTGGTGAATCTTGCTCGCCACTCTCGTTCTCTCCCTCGCCTCTCTCGTTTTTTATACAAACGCAAGTGTATAAAGTGCGTTTGTGTTTGTATAAAACGAGAGAAAATTGTATATATACATATATTTTCGTTCCCCTCTCTCCCCTCTCCCAGATCTCGCTCGCTCACTCGCCTCTCTCACTTTATACAATTGATCTTTTTGTATATGTATACCAAAACAGATTATACAACTGCTTTCTTTTGTATATGTATAGCGAAATATACATATTTATGTTTGCTATGGAGCGCAATTATGCAAACTTTGTTATAGCATACAAATATGAATTTTATGTTTGCTATATGTGAAAATAAAGATTGACCTTTAGATTCATTTAAGCAGATCATTGTCATGGACATAATTAACATAAACCTCTACAGATCACTAATATTTCCACAATTATAGTAGATGGTAACACTAGAATTCAAAAAGGTAGAGTTGGCGACCAACAATTATTTTGAACTCTGTCGAACAGCTTATCAACAATTATTTGACAGTTAACCATCAAAAGAAAGTAATTTCAATTATATTTTGCTATTTAATTCAGTCAAGCATTATTATTATCCTCACATATGATACTGTACGGATCGGAGTTGATCAGGTATGCATTGACGCCAAAATGCTTGGATTTACTCCAGAGTAGATTCTCTTTCACACTTCCTCTTGCACTGTGGAGTGGAATATCCCTTATTATCAAAGTAAGGGTCACACTGACAGGAAAATTTTTATTAGTCGAGCATAATGATCCACAATCTTTTTTCAGATCGGTATAAGAATCCCACAATATCTGAAAGATGTAATCTCTCTGAAGTACAATAAGTGTATAACAAAACAGTGTATACCTCCTCAGTGATCACACCCTTGCGGACAAAGTATCTCCAAGCTTCTAATGGATATCGACCATCACAATTCACAACCATCCCCACATAAATAGCCCTAGCATGCTACGATATCATTTGCTGACAGAGAGATATTCTGCCTCACACATAAAAATTGAATCATTAGCTACCATAACTAGAATAAACTTGCAAGTCTTTGCATGAATGAATGAATTTACCAAGCCATAATGAATACAGAAACGATCAGACAACAACTCAGCAGCACCAAAAGCCCAACAAGAACCACAATGTCCCTGAAATACAAACGATCAGATTGTTAGAATACCTGGAAAGAGCAATTAGCATATTCAGGAGGAAAAACAAATGATGAAATTAGAACCAAGACAAATCACCTGATCTGCGTCACAAAACAGTACCAGTGCATGACATCAAAAGATGGAAAGCATTAGCACCACTCTATAGAACTCTACAGCATTAAACCTGTGACCTTTTAGTTTGATCTAAGTACAATGATAGTAATAACTTCTCTATGATGAAGGAAATCATACCTGAAGGATTGCAGATTCCACTTTAGCTTGGGATATTGGATTTTCTGCAACAACCTGCTTGCCGTTCACAAAAGAAATTATGTATTCAACATTGAGAAATATGAAAGAGATTAAGAACTAGACCATGTAATTTTGGCTCAAGTAGCAATGCTTCTCCTCCTCCATTTCCCCTTTTCTGTTTCTTAGCAAAATGGGGGAAGTCTGGAGGTGAAGTCTTCAATTTCTCCACTTGCAAACTCAACATAGCAGCAAAATGTTGTTCGCGTTTCTAGTTTTCTTTAATTTCAAGTCATAACATGCCATCAATTTTCTCATTCATTTGACCTACATACTTTTTTCTTTCTTCTACTTGTGAAACACACACAACCATTGTTGATAAATTGATTTGGTACATTAATATTAAGAAGTTAGTTGTAAATATAAAAACAAATGTTTTCATTTTCTTTGTTTGGCAAAAGACAATATGTTAAGTCTAAATGTTTATGCCTGTCCCTTACCATTCACAAATTATTCATCAGCATCCAAATATAAATAAGTTAGAGCAAGATAGCATCAAGTTCAGGCTCTGGTGCCATTTGACAATTCCCACTCAACATTTTATAATCAAGGAACATAAAGTGTGAATAAGAACCGGCACAGAATAATGACTTAGTGTAATATCTTGAAGAAATATCTATATCATCTAGAATCTTGCAAGAAGATATAGAACCATCCCTTGGAGTGGTCTTGTGCTTTTGTAAATAAGCCAATTTCCAAAAAGCTCTCTAGCATAACCATTGTTACCATTTTTAAAACTAAGTTTCAAAACCTTTTCCTAACTTGCCTATTTATAAATTTTAGAAAAAAAATAATTAAGGAGTCACCACTTTGTTTTAAGAAAATTAAGAAACCATTTTAAAAAGGAAATTTTTAGAAAGGTTTTAAGCACTTAAAGGATCCGCTGACACACAGTTTAACAACGGATTTAAAAGTTGGCTAACTTTGACAAAAAACTTGCCTCGAGGCCCCCGCCTCATGGCGAGGCGGGGGCCCCGCACTGTGCTTCGAGGCACCCCACCCCACCCTGAGGTACGGTGCACGGTGCCTCGAGGCAAAACGCAACGCCACACCCCGAGGCAGGCACGCCCCGCCGG